TTCGCCCGTTAAATCCTAGAACTCCCCTCGGAGCGCCAAAAGTGTACTATGCTTGTGGCGTTCTGTCTCCTTCTGCCCTCACGGCTCGGCGTCATCGCGCGGTTTTGGGACTCGAGTCGCTCTCTGAGGATGTCTCGGGCGGCTGGGGCTCTTTGAGGATGTCTCGGGCGGCTGGGGTCTCCGAGGTCGCAATACCTTGTGGTGACGGACCGTGCCTTGGATTTTCTGCGGTCACCCCTTCGGTGGAGCTCCCTATGGGGCCACGAAGCGTTTGAAGGGAATGCCACCCCACTGCGTTGGCAACCCCAACATGTGCAGGTCGCCGTGGGCCTCGTGCCTTGTTTGTGTTGTTCGGTAAGAGCTTTGCCTCGCCAGCGGGCTTCCATAAACTGGATGCACGCTGTCTGCGGGTGTGATCAGCTTGTCGTGGAGGGTATTCTTGCTTCAGATCCTTGGTCAAATTCTATTTTTTCAGTTTTTTACTCCTTGTGTGTGTCATCCATAGTTTATTTCCCTTCCCCCTCCCTCCGCCGTCTCTCATCCCTCCCTCCTCCCTCCCCCATTCATCGTTCCTCCCCCCTCCCCCCTCCTCTCTGTGAGGGGCTTGATGTTTTCACCACGTCGTTTTGCAGGCCAATCACCCAATGAGCTCGGTGAAGGAATCCAGTGAGTAGACGCTCCAGCGCCCTACAGGTTGGGAAGCGACGGCGTCTGTGCACCGAGCGCGTTGACCGACGAGAGGACTCGGTGTACGCGTCGAGCCCCTCCCGCCGTTCTGGAACGCTCCGAGAAGGCCGCGGCGCCCGAGACATCCTCCAGAGCCGACGGATCAGCTCGGAGGTTCTCGATTCTGTTTTTCCCCGAATTGATCCTCGTCCTGGCTTCGGCTCGTAGTTTTTGCCTCTCCCGCCTCCCCCCCCCCGCATCCCCCCACGCGGAACCCCGCAACCTTACTAGTTTGAAACGTATCCTTCTCCTTGTGTTTGGCATCACCTCACCTCGATGCCGATCGTAAGGATCCCCTCAGCTTCTGAGGGCACGTCCCTAAGATTGTCCTCGCGTTTTGCTCGCTCATCTTAGTGATAAGCACCAGTTTCATGGCGCCAGCATCGCAGAGCGGATTTCGTTCAGAAAACGATAGGGTGGGCCCGGCCGGAGTGTCCCGGAGAATGTCGTTCCGGATTTCGAGGTGAATATCGTGCGGACTTCTCTTGACCAGGAATGAAGACCAAAAAGAGGTAACGCGAAATCCACGTCGCTTTTCGCTCGCCGCTTCGGTGAAAAACCCGGGCCGAAATCCACGCAAAGATCCGCTGCAGCACGTCTGCGAGGCCTGTGCAGTGAGAAGTTCGGGGCTGGTTTTTGCAGGCGCGCCCCCCTCCCCCCCGCGAAAGGCAGACGGCCCAGCCTGCTCGGGCAGGGCGGCGCGCGGCCGCGCGGGCCGCGGGAGCCGGCAGCAGAACCTCGGCATCGCTCGGGCGTGTGCATTCTTGTCTCGGCGAGGATCGAGTCGGGCGTGTCCCTCTAAAGGAGGAATATTCACAAATGGTAGAAAAATCGTCTGGGGACGATTTTTCGACCAGTGTCTACTATTCTTGGATATCTTTGGAGTCTTTGGAACTTTTCGTCCAAAATCTGCCTGTAGGGGGACACGCCCGACTGAACGCGAGGACCTTCGAGGAGCGTCCTCTCGCAGGCGATCTTTCTCTCCCTTAACCCCTGACTGTTCGACGAACAAGAAACACGCTCGGAAAATCGGAAAGGAACAAAAACATATAAACATAAACTTTCGACGCTCCGCGCGGATTTCTTGGATCCCCGCTGGGGCCCCACCCCCCGCGGGCGCCTCCGGCGCCGCCCCTGGCGCGCTCCGCGCGCCAGGGAGGGGGGTCCAGTGCGGATCCAAGAATTTCGCGCGGAGCGTCGAAAGTTTATGTTTATGCCGTTTTCTTTTTCTCTATTCTCGGCGGGGACCTGCGAGGAACGCCCTCTCGCAGGCGATCGTTCTCCCCCAGCCCCTGACTTTTCGTCGGACAAAAGAGACACGCTCGGAAAAGGAAGGGGGAACCCTGGGATGCACCCCACGGGGGCAACTCGGACGCACCCCTGGCGAGGATGGACGCCCCCCTCCTCGTACGTCCCAGGGTTGGGCTCCGAATGCCTGGACCTGTCGAACACCCCACGAAGCCCGGCACAGGGTTCGGCACGTCCCCTGTCGGGGGCGGAAAAGAAGGGGGGTGAAGACTAGGGGGGGGGGGATATCATGGCGTGGGCCATGATATTTCCCCAGATTTCATGGCGCCTCTCATTATTTCATTACGTCCCTGGCCCCCCCCCGCTGGGCCGCGCACATGCCGCTGGTTCGGCACGTCCCCCGGCATCCTCCTGGCATCGCTCGGACGTGTGCATGTTTCCTTCGGCGAGGACCATCGAGGAGCATCCTTGATCATTTGGCGAAAAAGCCACGCACGAAACCAAGAAAAACACAGGGAATGGACGTCCGAGCGATGGCCAGTCCTCGACCACCGGGCCAGAATGCACGCCCGAAATCGACCGGTGCACAGGGAGTGGACGTCCGAGCGACAGCGAGGAGCTCAGCGGCGATGTCCGAGCCCTGCCCTCGCCGACCAGCGAGGCGATGCAGCTCGGGGAGTATAGTGCATGCGCCTCTGCCTCGTCGTCGTGCTCCCCTTTCCTCTTTCCTCCTCCTTCTCCATCTCCTCCTCCTCCTCCTCCTCTTTCCTCCTCCTCCTCCTCCTCCTCCTCCTCCTCTTTCCTCCTCTTTCCTCCTCCTCCTCCTCCTGCTCCTGCTCCTCCTCCTCCTCCTCCTCCTCCTCCTCCTCCTCCTCCTCCTCCTCCTCCTCCTCCTCCTCCGTCTCCTCTTCCCCCTCCTCCTCCTCCTCCTGCTCCTCCTGCTCCTGCTCCTCCTCCTCCTCCTCCTCCTCCTCCTCCTCCTCCTCCTGCTCCTGCTCCTGCTCCTCCTCCTCCTCCTCCTCCTCCTCCTCCTCCTCCTCCTCCTCCTCCTCCTCCTCCTCCTCCTCCTAGCAGCCCTGGTACGCCCGTTCAGAGACGCAACACGTTCCCGTGCTCCCAACGTCCCTGTTCACACGCTGTTGATCTTCGTTGGGCGTGGCTCGGCACGTGCTGGTCCACGCTTGGGCGAACGTGTCGCGCCTGCACCGCGTTTGCAGTCTGCGCGTTGAGCTCCTGGTCCACACGCTGCGTGCTGTGTGCTACGTATCGGGGCAGCCAAGCTCGCCCTCGGTGGGGGAGAGAATACCTCTGGGGTGCGGCAGCTTTCTCGTCTGCGCCGTGCCTCCCCGGCCTTGTCGAGGTGTGATTGGAACCTGGCCCGTCGGTGCGTGGCGGCATCTGGGCTGCGACGCGCCGGTCTCTGAAGCCGGCTGTCCGCTCCCGCTTCCTCACTCCAGGAAGCTCGATGGGCGGCGAGGCTAGGGCTCGGACTCCGTCGAGCGCCTGGCAGAATTTGAAGCCTACCCCGCCTCCCATCGATTCGGGACTCGGCGGCGAGCCCCAGGAGAGAAGCGAGAAGGGGCGGACCTTGTCAGAAGGCCCGGAGGTCCCCCAACCTGCGGAGAAGCTTCCGAAGCCTGCCCCGAGAACGCACAGAGCTTCTCGGCAGGCGCAGGGGGCTTCTGAGAAGTCCCGCCGCCTTCTGAGAAGGCTCTCTCCTGCTCATTTACCTGGCATCGCTCGGACGTGTGCATTTTTTCCTTCGGCGAGGACCATCGAGGAGCATCCTTGACCATTTGGCGAACAAAAGCACGCACGACACCGACAAAAAAAACACAGGGAATGGACGTCCAAGCGATGGCGAGTGTACCCCCCTCGCTCGCCGCCAAGAGTCGAGCGCTGGCGGGGGGTGAGGTTCGGATGTCAGCGCCCGAGCACCTGGCTCTCGGCGGCGCGCTCGCCGCGCGGGCGGGCGGCAGCCGAGACGCCAGCGCCCGCGCCGCGTGCCTCCAGGGGCGAGAGCGATCCGGTGCGCCCCCGCTTGCTGGAGCCTTCGGTGGAGCTCCCAGACGGCCCAAGAGGCCTCCAAGTGGTCCTCCAGGAGGGCCCGAAGAGGCCAAAATCATTAGTTTGTTTTTTAGGTTTTCGAAGGATTTGGGAATTTGCTGATTCTCGGCATTCCGACGGCTCAAGAGGCACCCAAGATCGCCCAAGAGGCCCCCAAGAGGGCCCCATGACGGCCCAAGTGGCCTCCAAGACGACCCCAAGGGGCCATGAAGCGTGTGAGGGGTATGCCGGAGTTCAGGAGGGGAGAAAGCACAGACACAATGAAGCGTCGACTCCCCCGAAAATCTGGGACAACATGGGAAGTGGGGGGTGAGATGAAAACCGAGAAAGTATTGGAAAATCCTTGGGGGTCCTGGGATTCGTGTGTATTTCTCTGTGTGTCCCAGGGCCCCTGGAGTCTTTGTGGACTCTTCCTTACGAGGCCACGAAGTGAGAGAGGTCGGTGGCCACGTGCGAACCCCACAGGGGCGCCCTCGAGGGCGCGAAGTTCTTCGCGCTTCGCAGTTCGGCTCCGATTCCCTCCTCATCCTCCTCTTCTCCCCTGGGAGGCGGCGCGAGAGCGCGAAGTTATTCGCACTTCGCGCTTCGCGCAGCGCGAAGCGCGATGTTGGAAGCCCTTGACCCTACCCCCACCCCCCACGATTTCTGAGGAGGGGCGGGGGTTCACTTCGTTCGGGACCTCCCGTGTGGAGTGAACCTCCACCCCCCCCTCAGAAATCGTGGGGGACGGCGGCAGGGTTCACATGCGGCCACCCAGAGAGGGTGGCCAGAAAGAGGGGGTGGCAGCATGCGGGCGTTCCCACGGGGCCTTCGGTGGAGCTCCCTGCGGGGCCGCGAAACGTGTTATGGGTGTGCCCAATGGGGCGGTGGTGGCATGCGGGCCCTGGTACTGGCCGCGAAGCGACAGAGGGGTGTGCCAAAGTGGGGTTGTTGGCCGTTACGCCGCCTGCCCAGCTGGCATGGCGTCGGTCGGGCTGCAGTGCAAGACGCAGTGCCAGGGCGAGTTCCCGGCTGACGACGGTGCGATGATGTGCGGGCGCAACCCTGGCGTGCTCGCAGAGGCTGTCATGAACATGGTCATCGGCGTCGCCACTGGCGCCATCAATTCTGGCCTGCTCATCGCTTCGATGGCGAAGGACGGGGTTGATACGGACTCTCTCGTCAACACCATCCAGGCTTTCGTGAACATGGGCAAGCCTTTCGCGTACCAGACCTGTCCGCTGCCGGGCCGCTGATCGTGTCTTATGTGTACGACGATGTACAGCGTGCGAGGTGCAAGAATTCGAAGATCTCCAGTTGCCCCCAAGCGGTAACTTGCTTGCAGTCAGGCAGAAGCGCTTCTATCATCAGTCACGATCCAAGTGGCTGTGGCGTTGCCTTTGGCAGCCAGGTTGCGATGACATGTTTGCGCCATCACACGCATGGCACAATCATGGCCCTCCTCCCGCATCGTCTCGTGTATCCCTGTGAGCATCCGTGCAACTTCCCTGATTCAATCCCTTGCTAATTTCTATGCCAGCTTCCAATCGTACTTTTCCCAGTAACTCTCCTGTTTCGAGCTACAGTTTGAAATTCATGGGCCGCCCCCGCCCTGCAGACAAGCCGTGGGGCTCAGGCGAGCACCCGTTGCCAGGAGAGCAACTGCATGTTTCCTCTCCTCGCCCTCTTCTTCCCTCCTCCCCTCTCTCCTGTTCTTCCGCCCCTCCGAGTGGTGTCGGGGCGAAGCGCTCGGCAACCGGGGGCGGCTACCGCGCCAGAGCCCTGGCGCCGTCCCGTCCGCGCCGGCCGCGCGTTGCTGCCCGTCTGCCGCACCAGGCCTCTTGTTTTGGTGCGGCAGCCACGTTTTAGTCTCAGTTCGCCATTTTGTCTTCGTTAGTCACCGCCTCCATGGTCGTGCACCGTCGGTCTCACGGCGTTGTGATCTCACGCTATTCGTTTGCGCGTGCCTTCGCCTTTGAGCTTTCTTTGTTACATCCCTTCTTCACCCCAGCTCTTCCGCACATTGCACTCTGCTCCCCGACGTGTGGCTGAGGAAGTGTGGCCGTGGCGAGCTTCGGCTTTCGCCCGCCCTGCCCGCCCTGCCGGTGCAGGCTGCGTTGTGTCTGCTGCTCCCAGCGTGTCCGGCTGTGCTTGTACAGCTCGTGTCTCGTGCCAGTCGCTTTCGCAGGGCGGCCGCATTAGGCATCTCGCTTATCTTCCCTCCCTCCTTCCGTTTTTGGTTTTCTCCTCCTCTTTGCTTGTGTCCTCTTCGTTTTAGTATATGTTTTTTTTTTTTGCTCTGGTTGCATCCCGTCCCCACGCACGGCTTTAGCTTGAAAGCGGGGGCTGTGCGCGACGGGGTCGATGCACGTGTAAAGGCGTGCGCCCGTGGAGCAATTGTATCACATTGCCTGATTCGAGCTCTGCGCGTTTCACTCTGACGCTGGGTGGTTGGATTGTCAGGTGGCTGCGTTCTCCTCTTCTTCCTCAAAAAAAAAAAAAAGTGGGGTTGTTGGCCACATGCGGGCCATCCTCATAGAGCCTTCGCTGGAACTCCCTCCAGGGCCACGAAGATCGTGCGGGGTGCGCCAAAGTTGGGGATGGCGACATGCGAGCCCTCCCACTGGAGCCTTCGGTGGCGCTCCCTTTGGGTCCATGAAGCGAGTGAAGGGTATGGCGATGACGACGAAATGGGTAAGGGTGACGATGATGATGGTGATGATGGTGGTAACGGTGATGCCGATGATGTTGATGATGATGATGATGATGATGATGATGATGATGATGATGATGAAGATGCTGCTGCTGATGATGATGATGCTGGTGATGATGATGTTAAGGGCGATGATGTTGATGATGATGGTGACGGTGATGCTGATGATGATGGTAGTGGTGATGGTGGTGATGCTGTTGATGTTGATGATGATGACGATGATGATGATGCTGATGATCAAGGTTGTGATGCTGATGATGGTGATGGTGATGACGATGAAGAACATGACGATGATGATGATGATGATGAAAGTGATGATGCTGATTCCGATAATGATGATGATGCCGATGATGTTGGTATTGACGATGATGATGACAATGATGATGATGATGATGATGATGATGATGATGATGATGATGATGATGATGGCGATTGTGGTGGTCATTCTGACGATGCCACTGATGCGGATTATGATGACGGTGATGACGATTACGGTGGTGCTGGTGTTGATGATGATGACGATGATGATGATAACTAGTCTATTGATACTGATGAGGTTTACGACGATGATGGTGGCGGTGATGATGACGAGGATGTTAATGAGATTGATGATGGTGACGGTGGTGGTGGTGATGATGCTGATGTTGATGATGATGATGATGATGATGATGATGCTGATGATGATGATGATGATGGCAGTTATGTTGGTGGTGGTGGTTATGATGAACTTGACGACGGTGATGGCGATGCTGATGATGGCGGTTGTGCTGTTGGTATCGACACTGGTGATGCTGAGGGTGAGTACGATGTTGGGGATGATGACGGGGATGCGGATGAATGACGATGCTGATGATAAGGTTGATGATGTTGTTGATATTGATGATGGTGATGCTGGCGATGGTGGTAACCGATATGGTGATTTCCACGGCAGTGTCGTTGATAATGTTGATGGTGGTGATGGTGATGATGATGAGGAACATGAGCAGTACCTTGAGCTTAGCATGGTTATCATGATGATCATGATGATCATGGCAATGACTATCATAATGATGATGATGCTGCTGATCGTGACGGTGATGCTGACGTTGTTGATCATGGCGGCGATGATGTGTTGATGATGGTGATGTCGGTGTTCATGCTGTCTGTACTGGTAATGCTGATACTGATGTTGATGTTGATGCTGATGATGATGCTGATGATGATGACCATGATGAGGTTGATGATGATGCTGCTGATGATGATGATGATGGTGGTAAGAGGCGTAGGGCAGAAGAAGTGACGGGAGTAGTGATGGAGAGGAGACGGAGGTGGTGCGAGAACGCATAACCGCTTCCGTCACACTAAGTGTTCCCGCATCCCTTTCCAAGGGTCCTTTGGCAACTCTTTCTTTTCCTCCTGGCTCGCACGGGCCCTCCTTGCTGATTCTGCCTTCGCCGCGCCCCCCCCCCGCCCCCACACCCCCTCTGTGTTGGTCGGTCTGTTCGTGAGTGATTGTGTCAGCTCTGTTCGATTGCGACCCCGCGTGGTATGGCATGATCTGGTGCATAGCCAAGGCGTTGAACATAGGACCGCTGTGGGCTCGAGAGCGTTTCTGGTTTTCGGGCAGCTCCCCGGATCTAGGTCGAGGAACAGATTCGTGGTCGAGGCTGGCCGTCGCCAGCGAAGCTCCTTCCCTCGTTATTGCGCCGTCGTTTTGGTACAGCTTTGTGCAATACGACCAAATCCAATGTGATCGAGTGTTGATAAGAGGCGCGAGCGGCAACAAGAGGGAGGAGTGGGCGAAGGGGCCACGTTAGATCGAAAACGGCGGGGCAGCATGGTTCACAGGATCTCTCGCTCGCATCCGAGATTCATCGCATCCAGTTTTGCCCACATACATGTTATACAGCCTTCAGGGCCTCTCGGGGATGCGAACTCTTCTGTGGGGGCTCAGGCAGGCGTAGAGATTTGTTAGTTGCGTGTTCAAAGCTTCCTGACGCCTTCAGAAGTCCCCAGGAGATCTCAGGGCGACTCATAGACCGCAAGAGGCTCGAGGAGGCCTCAGGAAGAGCCCCGAGTCCCTGGAGTCCCTCAGCGGCTTCAATAGGCTACCCCACGGGGCCCCAGGAGGCTCGAGGAGGCCACAAGATGAGATCCGTCCTTGACGATCGGACGGGAGGAAGAAAGGGAAACTGGAGGGAGGGAGGCAGCAGAGGTGAGGGAGTAGAGGTAGAACCGATGGCGGGTGCGGAAGTGGATCTGGAGGAAGAGGAGGAGGAGGAGGAGGAGAAGGAGGAGGAGGAGGAGGAGGAGGTTCGGGAGGAGTATGGGGATGAGGATGGGAAACAGAGGAGGAGGAGGACGGGGAGGATGAGGAGAGGGAGGAGAAGGAGAAGGAGGAGGAGGAGGAGGGATGGTGGAGGAAAAAGGGATGGAAGCTGAGAGGGGGCTGGGCAGAAGAAGGATCAGCGCTCGCCGTCGGGCTGTCTCCCCTGCCAATCCCGTACGCTGCAGAGTTCACTGCCCCCGCCGTAGCGGCCGCGACGGCGTTCCTCTCAAAGGGGGCCTTTTGCCCCCTCGTCCAGGCTGCCGCTCTGGAGCGAGGCGCCGGGGGGCGGGGGCTGAGGGATGAAGCGGGGAGGGGCAGGAGGGAAGGTGGGGGCAGGGGGACGAAGGGAAGGGAACGGGGAACGGGGGCAGGAAGGGCGAGCAGGAGAAGGGACGAGGAGGAGGATGAGGAGACACCTCTTGAGGGGGCTGATGCTCCCTCGCCCCGGCTGCAGGTCCAGAAGACGTGG